TTAAATTTTTAGATAAAATTAGAGTTTTGAAAATTTTGAAATCTAATCATTCCTTTCTAGGTATCATTATTATCAGTGGTCGAAATTGGAGTCTTACCACTAGTTTGTGGATGTTGGCTTGACATTTGTTCACTGCCAATGTTTGATGCCTCCTTGAAAGACAGACTGGTCAGTTTCAAAGTGGCACCAGGCACCTCGATGTTCATCCATTGGCTAGTCGGAATGGTGTATGTATACTATTTCGCATCGTTCGTTCTTCTGCTACGAGAAGTTCTTAGGCCTGGTGTATTATGGTTCTTGAGGAACTTGAACGATCCTGATTTCAGTCCGATTCAGGTATAAAACATTTTATCATATTAACCAATTGCATAATTTTTTGCATAAGAAGTTGTGGTGTTTTAGGAAATGATACATATGTCGGTGTTGAGACATGCGAGGCGTTTGTTGGCTTCGGCAGTGATTTTTGGAACTGCAGTGCTGCTGATGTTGTGGGTACCTGTTCAGGTCTTGAAATGTGTTTGGCCGGCTTTCTTACCTTATGCAGTTGCCGTACATGCTGATGCACAAATTAACGAATTGAGCTTGGAGTTACTTCTGTTACAGGTGTGTAAACTAGATGTATGAAGCATTTTGCCTTATGGCAAGTTGCATGAACTTTCCGAAATCTTTATTTTAATTTATGAGTGCTTTATAAGTATACCGAGAAATTATATCACATTATAATGTGAGAATCTATTACATATTATCCTATTTTGAATTTTTTTTCTATTACACAATGATCACGTGCCTAATACACACGGAGTATTTTCTAAAAATGCGGCCGATTAATTCAGATTTTAATTAATTTTTATAATTCAACTGCTTACCGTGAGACTATAATATTTTAGTATGTTCAGAAAAAATTAACCATCAATTACCAAGAAACTGTCTGGCCGATCTTTGTCAAACAACGCGATATACAAATGAAACCTTTCGAATAGTTTTTGATTTTTCAAAATCGGTTCAGAATTTTTAGCTAAAACGTTTACGAAAAAATGCACTTTCACTTTTTTGGTAATTTTAAAGAAACTGTTCGGCCGATGGATCGTATAAAATAAACAACGTTAGTGCTTATCAAGTTGCATCGAAAGGCTTTTAAATTTTTGAATTCGGTCCAGCACTTTTTGACGAAACATTGGCCAAAGGCTTGACACATGCTTTTTCCAAATTTGGTATTATTTGATTCAGAGTGACTTGGTACATAGAGAAAACATAAAGTTTGCAGAACGGATTTTCTGGCGAAAATAAACTTTTCCTTCAGGATGTTAAAAAATATATACAAAATTATTAATATATATTTCACACCGTTTTACACTGATGATGGGTTCCATAAAAACTCGTGCAACTCGAAAAATTTACTTCTATATGAAAAAACCGTGCTAAACGAAAATCACTATGAAAAACACATTAAACGAAAAATAAATATCAATATATTTAATATCAAACATATTTAATATTATTTCAATAATGATATAAATTTAAAAAAAAATCAAATATAAAAAAACCTATTTTACGCTATCAATTATATTAAACGCTAGGGCGAGTCGGTTTAAAAGTCACTTAGGCACATATGATCTTGTTTTCGGATTCGGAAAATCAAAATAAGATACTAATAACAAAAACTAATACCAAAAAACGATAGATTTTTGCAATTTTTGTATTGTGGACGTCTCAGGACAAGTCCCAGAGGGTTGAACCATGGGCATAAAAAGTTAGTGGGGTCAGTCATACATTCGGACTTGATTCTCTAAATGGGTCAAAACGAAAAAAAATTGACCCTAATCTTTGGGTCAATGCACGGAACATCAGAATTCATTTTAGGTATGGGTTTCTCAGCAAAATATCTTATTTTGATCCCAAGTATCCGAAAATGATATGTGCCTAAGCGACTTTTTTTGACCCATAGAAATCGACCCGCTCTGATAAACACTAATTATATATAATATAAAATAAACAACGTTAGTGCTTGTCAAGTTGCATCGAAAGGCTTTTAAATTTTTGAATTCGGTCAGCACGAAACGTTGGCCAAAGGCTAACTAATATAATATGTTTTTGTTTTGGCATTTCAAATAAACTAACTTATGCACACATAAAATTAAGTCTTGATCATAAAATAGGGAGTTTCCATCTTATCTATATATATATATATATATATATATATATATATATATATATATATATATATATATATATATATATATATATATATACGAGTATATATATATTTTCCTAATATAATTCGTAACTGTAACATACGTTTTGTGGTAGAACAATGAAAACGTTTAGATATAAACAAAATTATAGTTTAGTATTTATAATTTCGTGTAAGTGCAAAATTACTAAATTATTTAGTTAAAAATAAATTATTTTCAAAAACCGTGTAAAACGAGTACCGGGTAAAACGGGGGAAAGGTGTAATTATCTACCCGTCAGAGAAATTTGTTTTCGCGAGAAAATTCGCATCGATAATTAAATATTTGCTTGACCTTCCACTTAGTTATAATTTTGTAATTATGTTAGGTAATCTTACCGGCCCTGCTAGAACAATCCCATACTCGCATTTGGCTGAAAGCACTAATGCGAACTTGGTGCCGCGGTGTATCATGGCTGCTAGATTTGAGATCATATCTACTAGGAGATGAAGATACTAATAATACTGAAAATGCTGATAATCCACCTCCCGCACAGCCTGCTATTGATCCCGCAGCAGGTCTCGGAGCAGCGCACCAAGCATTAATCCACAGAGATGATCCGATCGGTTACCAACCTTATGTCAGACCACGATTTTTCGCCTTGAGAATGATCGGTTTATTGATACTTGTTGCGATCAGTCTTGTCCTGGCCAGTCTTGTGGCGTTGACTGTTCCCGTGTGGCTGGGAAGACATGGTATGTCTCTTTGGCTTGTTGGAGGTCCTCCGACCACCGCAGTTGCAACAAAGGCTGGGACAAATCCGAAAGTCCAAGGACGAGTTCATGAGCTGTACACAGCGGCGTGCGGGATGTACTTATGCTGGTTGGGGGCACGTGCTTTGGCACTTTTGGCCAGTTGGTTGCCGCAAGGACGAGCAGCAATTATTGCGAAGATTAAACAATGGGTCTCTGTCGGAGCAGCGTGTCTTCTATCAGCTGTGCTCTTGCTTGGAGTGATTCCTATGTTATTTGGATTGCTGCTAGAATTTGTAGTCGTGATGCCTTTACGCGTTCCCTTGGAACAAACACCAAACGTTTTCCTCTGGCAGGATTGGGCGTTGGGAGTTTTGTATACCAAAATAGCGTGCGCCATAACTATGATGGGTCCTGATTGGAGCCTCCGAAGAGCCATCGAGAAAGCGTATCGAGACGGGATAAGAGAAATAGATATTGTGTTTATAATTCGTGATTTAGCAGCCCCTGTTATCACGAGTTTTGGATTAGCATTAGCTGTACCATATGTTGTCGCGCATTCGATAGCGCCCTTGTTTATAACAAATAAGCATACTTTAACATTAATTACTAGAAAAATATACCCTTTCCTACTACTAATTTGTCTCGTAGCAGGTATAATTGTATTTCAAGTTAAACAGTTCAAAAAGTTGTACGAACACATAAAGAACGATAAATATCTAGTAGGCCAAAGGCTTGTTAACTACGACCACAGAAGGCATCGGAATCAAGCTTTAACATCTAGTAATTAATTTAATTTGATAAATCACTGGCGACTCACTCCATTTTATTTAATGAAATCTTTGAAGCTATTGCTACACAAACTACCCTCTTAGACTGACATATTTTCATACGAATGTATTTTTGCATTCGTTTATAAAAATAGTTTTTGATAAATAATGTAGGATATTAATATAAATATATATATATAGGTTTTTACTGTTTTCAAATAAGGATATTTAAAACAGCCAATGACCTAGTGATACTAAAACGAATGCTCGGATATGAAAAATGATGAGATCTATATTAACATTTTGTTAAACTGCAGTAAATTTGAAGAGTTATATATTTTGTATAAATGCATTATGAAATTGTATATTTATTTTTGTTTATTGTAATTTTTTGTATATATTTGAGATAACATATATTTGGGTAAAACGGATCTCTTGAAACGAAAAATCATTTCATTATGTATAATAATAAAAACTATCAACATCAATTTGTTTATTTTATATATAATTAAAAAAATATATCATTATTCATCATTTATCAATATATATAATTTTTAATCGGAGTAAAGTACCTGATCAATTTGAACATCATGATCATGGCAAGGAATTTCATCAAGAATTTGCTCTTTGAATGCCAAAGCTACAGTTTTGGCTCGTGGTTTGAGAGAGCTGAGAAATGTATCGTAGTAGCCTTTACCATGGCCTAAACGTGAGCCCGAACTTGTAAATGCTACACCAGGAACGATCACTAAGTCTACACCACCTAGAACATAAAAAAAAAATATTTTCACTTCTTATTTAAAAAAAATCATCATTGTTTTTTTTATATATTGAAATATTATATAAAAAATATTTAGTAATTCAGTAAAATTTCTGTAATTATACCTGTTTCCAAAGCATTTTCTCTTCCGACAGCACTTTCAGGCTGTTTTATATTCCATTTTGTCAACGGCAAAGTATTATAATCCTCCATCGAATGTAAAGCTAGCATTTTCATGTCATCGCCTTCATATCGTGGTACAAAGCACTTCTTATTATTCTTGAACATATCTTGAATTATAGGCTCTGTGTCTATCTCATTACTCGTGCTGAGGTAAATTGAGACTCGTTTACTGTTTTTATAAACTGGCAGTTGTTGAAGCTGGAGAATTAATTAGTAAGTTCTACTGTATTACCATTATTAATAATATGTTTCAAATTGATTATTATCTCACCTTTTTGAATACATTTTCAGATTGCAACAACTTATCTTTCTCTTCCAAAAGTCCAAGTTTGCTTTTAATACTTTTTCTCAAAGTATTTTTAGCGGATTGTATACAGGCATGTCCAGACATTTTATTGTTAAATGAAACTGCTGTAAAAATTTCTTGGAATGACCTTTGGTTGATATTAACTTGACCTGTACTGTATATATAGGTCAGACATAAAAACACTGATTAAAATTATAGAATGTAAACATTAGATAAGAACCAAAACAAACATCGATATTCATCAAAACAGTGTAAAATATATAACTGAAATAGGAATTATTGTTTCAAACAGGAAATTGAATGAGGTAAGCTACATAATACTTTCATATATTTAATATAAAACTAATTCCTAACTTTATTTTATATTACCAATTTATCTTATTTAATTTTAAAACTTTACTAGATAAATTGAGGTTATGTTTTCCACAATATACATCAATGCACAAGTATTACAACAGAACGTTAAATAAATATTTATTTAATATTTATAACACTTATTCGAGTAAATAAATTAACTCAGAATATAAATTGTAATAATTTTCAATTTTATTTGGAGTTTTCATAACATTTGTAAACAGAAACTGTCAAAATATCAAATGGCATTATAATCAAATAATATTTTGATATAAGCACTTTTTTGATTTATAGCACTCAAACATTCATAAATTATGTTTAATTTAATACAAATATGTTTATATTATATTAATATATTAATTTATTTTATTTAAGTTTAAAGTTTTACTATAATTAATTGAGGTTATGTTCTTCACAATGGACACCAATGTAAAGGTCTTCTTTTTCATTTAATATTTATTTATTTTTTATAATACTTTAAAGTAAATTTTGTGAATTTAACAAATAAAGAATTTCTACAGAATCTAAATAGATGAACTGCAAAATGTCAGGTAAGTTAGATATAAATATAAATATTATAACCTCAATTTCAATGTCAAAATAAATCTTGTCTTTTACTTATTTTATTTATCTATTACCCCAGAGCACCATGTGAGATTTGACCAAGCTGCTGCTTCCGATCCAGGAAACGTTGAAAAACAAATATCATTCCAAAAAGTGGGACCAAAAGACATATTAGTTCATTTAGGATTCTTACAAATTGACCATCGATACAAAATAACTTTCTGCATCCCCAAATCAACCCTCGACATACCAAATCTGATACCCGATGCAAACAAATGTAGAAGCATAGAATATTCTATTATAGAATTCATCGAAGGTATGAATGAGTACAAATTTATTCTAGATTTCAAAGCAATTTGTGAACACATTGTTGAAGAAGTGATTACTTTGAGTAACTTGGATAATTTTAAAGATATAAGGATTATTTTAAGAGCTACTATCATCGGTAAAGGTAAAGGTACTCCGATGGTTAGGAAAGGAGTTAAATCAGTTGAAGTTATGGAGCACAGTGAATCTGATAGTTGAATATAAGTTGGATATGTGGGCAAATTAGGTTTGATCTCATAAACATGTATTAACGCCTGGTAGTTTTATAAGTTTTTATATAAATATAATATAAGTATTAGTTTATTGTGCTGTAATTTAAAGAAATCTATTGCCTTCTAGATTTTTTTAATAAGTTTTTATTGCAATGTAGATTATAATATCGTACAGAAATATATTATTAAACTGCCTTCATCCATTGTTTATATATAAAATAGAATATAAACATGAATTGATATCATAATTGGCTTACTCAGAAATATTATAAAAACTTTCGGCATTTAAAATTTTGATGATGGTGCTGTGCAATTGACAAAAACTTAATTTTTGTGGTAATAAATTGAGAAGTATATGTATATTTATTATTAGTATCAGGTACACTATAGTATTAATTTGAAGACCGAAAATATAATAATTTCAAAAAAAAATTATTGTTTATGCATAGAAAAAGTAATTTGTGAAGTATAGCTTGTGCATGTTAAATTGTTTAAAAATTAAAAAATGTGATAATACTTATATTTGGTTAAGTAAGTAAATAATTACAAAACTAAATCGATAATTAAGTTACTGAATCAATGATTAGTTTACTAAATCAATCCAAAATAGTTGTTTAGTTGATTTAGTCAAGTAATTTTTCATACTTCTTTTTAAAGTTTTCAAATTTAAACCGTTTAAACCATAGTTGATTTTGTAATCCACTCTTTGAGATGTTTTTGTCTGTAGTGGGGTATCTATATGCTCTCTCTATGGACAAAATGATAGTTTTCATACGTCAACCTCATGCACACACCACCTTAAATCAGGCTAAAGGTGCGTCCACACCTAACGAACGAACACGAACGAACATAAAAGAACGTACCAGAACGAACGGCAACAGCATAGTGTGGACGCCACAACGATCACGAACGAACATAAACAAACATGGCGAGCAATGTTCCGCAACTTGTCGGTACATCAAAGGGAATTGTTCGTTCATGTTTGAACTCGTATGTGCAGTGTGGACGCTACCACGAATGTAGACAAACATTTTTCTTTTTTGGTGTTAAAATGTGCATTAATGCATTAATTTATGTTGTATTTATTATAAGATATTGCTGTTATTGACAAATTTTGTAAATTTGATGACTTTAAATAATTTTTCTCTTTCCCGCCACTTTAAATAATAAATCTGACGTTTCACGGTACATCCTCGAACAAAAAGATTCAAACCCTCACTGCTTTGAGGCGTTTGTTTGGAATTTTTCGCGTTCGTTCGTGTTCCTGTTCGTTCTATTTTGTATTTTCTTGTTCGACATGTTCGTTCGTGTTCGTTCGTTAGGTGTGGACGCACCTTAAGAATTTTGACATTTGCATATTTCAGCCAGCATGAAGTTGGCGACGAAATAGAAGTTAGACGTCAAGTTGAAATGTATTGGATTCATTGTTCATAACTTTGACAGCTAAAACCTGTCAAGATCATTATTATCACAGCCAAACAAGTATTATTATTATTATATTGTCTAATACCAAGATGATATCCTTTATCTTAGACAATATATTACGTTAAAATACAATATATCTTGTTCCCTCATAGCAAATATTGCAGAAAAAACGAAATATATCTGTCAATTCCAAGACAGTATGAAGTATTTTGGTTTAGTATTATAACATCAGAAGTGTTTCAATTTTATTTCATTTACTGAACCTTCTATTTGTTGTTTGTTGAGTTTTAGTTAGCTTCCACTGAATTAAGGTTAAGATCGAAACCAAACCTAATCATGTATACAACGTAACCCTAACAAAAATAATGAATAAAATGTAACCCTATGCGTAAAACGTAAGCCTAAATTATTTTTTAAAACAAAATTATAACTAAAACATTGTATAAAATCTAAGCTAGACTAAAATGATCTTTGAATGAAAAGAATCCTAAAACATAACCCTAAAATGTAAAAATTAAAATAAGAACTAAATAGGCGCGTAATCAAAAAGCCAAAGCGAATAAACTTGAACGGACATAAAAAAATAAACACAAAAAGAATGAATCATAACGAAAAGCTAAAAAATATTAAATATGAAACAAGCCTACTTAATAAAAAACAATACGCCGACACAACGCTGATATAAAAATGAACAAAATGGCCGACGCGCTCTTGACATCTGAAATGCTTGACAGCTTGATATCAGTCTTCGCCGTCAACTTCATGCTGGCTGAATTATGCAAAGTCTTAGCTTGATTTAATGCCTCCTCCTCATGCACAATTTTTGCAGTTGCATTGCATCTAACCCAATAAAATGTTTTAGTTAAAATTAAGCTGCCAGTTAAATATTATATTATTTGTGAAATCAGTTTTTAATATTCGAAGTCCTAACACAGTTTGTGAAAGTATTTCTTATTTATTGGATGTGAGGTAAATTTTGTGCGGTTATTGCAGTTTGCTGTTGTTTGTCTCCATTGAAATTTGGCAAGAGAATTTATACAATGCAAATAGTTGTTAAATTGTAAGTAAATTTGGGGGATTGGTTCATTAAAAATATGCAAAATATCGAGCACATCATAATATTAAGATACATATCCTGATTTTATTGTTAGAAATTGATTTGTTTAAAAAAATTTAAGTTGATAGGTTATACAAATAGTATGATAATCCTCTTCTGTTTTCATCCTTTTGCAAAACTTTAAACGTGTTTCTCTCAGAACTGTATTTTTCAATACGATGTACATGATTTCTCGAGTTCTACTGAACTGATTTAATTAAAATTTTCAGAGAATCTTCTTTATAGACTTTTCTCTGGCATATACTAGATTTATCCCCAAATTTAAATTTTTGCTATTTTTTTAAATTTGAGAAACCCAAAAAAGTGGTAAGAAATTGATCCTTTTTCTTTGAACAGTCACCATCCAATTTTAACCCAATCTTAGTATATAACATATTGACATCATTCTAACTAAATATTCTTTTTTCTTTCTTTTCGGATTACCAAGAAGGGTGCAATCATGTACACGTTCATGTGTCTACTTTGTGACACTCCCCACTGCAAACACTGCTAATTTTTAAGATCTTTAACTTTTATACTATTGTAACGTTGATATACAAGTTATAAATAAAATAATAATAAAAAAAGTTTATTCCCTGTTGTTTACGATGATTTAAAAAAGACTTATAATTTATGCCTGTAGACTAGAATAACCTCTTAAGCTGAAGTCCAGTAATGTTTCAATAATGTTTTGTTTTTTGTTGGAATTTCTGAGAATTGTTTGTGATAAATAAGTTCTATATTTACTTTTACCAAAATCTTTGTATTTGTGGTATCTTTCCTTATCCAACGACAGGTTTACACTATTTTGCATCAAGCCTTCTGGCCATTTTATTCGGTTCCTCTTTAATATAAAAATGTTGAAACTATTTTAGCAAAAAGCTTATGGTTTTATTTTCCATTATGTATTTAAAAATATTACTCCAGGTGTAACATAGGTAAGTGATTATCATTATAGATTCCAATAACTATCATAAAATGGGGCCACCCAAACGTGGTGGATACATGAAAGGTGGAGCTTCAGGAAAATATGGTAAGAAACATTAAACACATCTCCATATGTTTCATATAATTAAATAATAGTTTCATATAATAAATATTATTTTATTAAGGCAAAAAGAAAAGATTTGAGGATGAACCATATTCGACAACTAATATTGTGGAACAAGATGATGATCTACCTGAAACCGATGGTGTTCCTGGTGCAGCCACAAAGGATGCAGAAAAAAATGATGAATCGGTTGTTACAGATGAATACGGAGCTAAGGATTACAGGTAGATAAAATAAATGTATACATGAATATATTTAAATAACTAGTGGTGTATGGTTTAGTGCTTCAAGGGAAATTGCTGGAACCTCCGGTACCAAAAATTATTTTTTTTTTAAAATGATTAAATTTTTTATAAAATTTTGAAAAAATTAGAGTTTTTGAGAAATTTTAGATTTTTGAAACAAAGTTGCCTTTTTAGAAAAAAGACTTCTTGAAAAAAATATTTCTTTGTTTTGAAATATTTTGGATTTTGAACTTTTTTTCAATTTCATTTTTGATTTTAGTTAATAACTAATATTGTTTTTAGATCACAGATGGAATTGAAACCAGACAATGCATCCAGGCCCCTCTGGGTTGCACCGAATGGACATATATTTTTGGAGTCATTTTCACCGGTTTATAAGCATGCCCATGACTTTCTCATAGCAATTTCAGAACCAGTCTGCAGGTACATACTTTTTATTGTATTATAATTAACATAATGGTATATAATTTTTTATATTATTATTAATTCTTTACAGACCAGAACATATCCATGAATACAAATTAACGGCGTACAGTCTTTATGCTGCGGTTTCTGTCGGTTTACAAACTCACGATATTATCGAATATTTAAAACGTCTCAGCAAAACTTCAATACCACAAGGAATATTAGAATTCATACAACTGTGTACGTTGTCTTATGGAAAAGTGAAATTAGTTCTTAAAACATAATAAGTAAGTAGGTAAATGTACTCATTAAATTTTAAAATGATCTGTTGTTATTTATCAATCTTTTTTTATTTAGGTATTTTGTTGAAAGTGCTCATCCTGAAGTGTTACAGAAGCTTTTGAAAGATCCTGTGATTCAACAGTGTAGATTAAGGGCGACCGAAGCAGAGGGTGAATTAGATGACGATGGTTTTATAACACAAAAACAAAATGTAAAAGGTGTTACTGCTTTTGGATCGAATAAAGTTGTTGGAAATAATGATGCAGGTAATAAATGAAAATTATATGTTACACAGTATATATTTTATCAACTTATCTGTAGGGTAGGGTGAGTTGTAGAAAGGCAATTATACCGTCCCGGCTTAGCCGGGACAGTTCAGGATTCGCACTTTGTGTCCCGAGTTTTCCTGAAAGCAATATTTGTCCTAGATTCATTTCTTTTATCCCACATTTTTGAAAGTTATAGGTCTAAATTGATTCTTT